GTTCATGTTTACTGGGATCCTTGTCGTGGCGACACACAAGAAGTCATCTGCCCTTCTTCATCTTGGCGACCTTCTCCTTCCTCTTCTTCACGTGTTTTGGGACCTTGTTCTTTCTTTTTTCTCTCTGAGCTTCTTTCACCTGCTTCTTCTTCTCCTGAAATGAACTCCCTATTAGTTTTCATTTCAAAGATTCAAAGCCTCAAAGATGCAAGACTCAAACACCTTTTTGTCCATCGGAGTTTTCTCATTCTGCTCCTGGTCAGCTGTCTCCTCTTCCTCTTCCTCTTCCTCCTCCTCCGAGGAGGAAGAAGAGGACGATGAATGCTTGTCGTCCTCCAGGAGAGCAGGAATCTGAGGAGACGTGAAACACAGTCAGGCTAAGCTAAGCTAAGCTAATACTAGTGTAAGGTGACGTACCGTCTGAACTCCTGACAGATCTTTCTTCAGTCCGGTGAGAGTCTGATACAAGATCTGAAGAGAAAAAGGTCTTCATCACCACCATCGTCATCATGTCAACATTTTCTTCAAAGAAACTTGACTCACATTGTCGTGACGGCTGACAACCGACTCTTCCTCCGTCGCCCTCATCAGGTCGACATCTCGCTCGTAGTGACTCACTTCTGTCAGCGTGCGGGGGATGTAGGTCTTCTTAAACACCTGAGAGGGAGGAGTGGGTCAAAGGTCACAAACAGGTGGTTATTACTGTAACAACCTGTGGTGGGAGGGCAGATAAGATCACCGCCACATTTCAACAACGACAAACTTCACATGTTAGTGTGGGAGGAGCTTATTATGAAACTGCGGCTGACACATGAGATTACAGCGGCCACCACGGTTGAGCTGATGAATGAAAAACGTTCTAAAACAACATGTGACCTCTTCGTCCACTCGATCCTGATCTGATCGCTGTTCCGACGTGCGTTCAGCTGCAATCACCATCGCCTAGACAAAACAGACACAACAATAAACCAACAAGCAGATTCTTTCTGAGAATGTTTTGTGCTGGATGGTATCAGACCTTTTCCAGGTATTGATCGATGTTGTGACAGGTGATGGACGGGTCGGTGATGAAGTCAAACAGCTCTCTGACTGTCATCACCGCCACACCGTGCTTCACAAAGAACTCTGGGAAACAGAAGCAGACAGTCAGTTTCCTTCAGTGCGACGTCACTGACGACGACACAAATCATTTCATCTTTTGAACGAGGAGTGAAAACAGTAACTATCACCGTTCACGTTGCAGCAGTCCTTCCTAAGGAACTCCAGAGCATGAGGGTGATCGTGTTCTACCGACTGTGACACGTCGATGATGTAAGCGTCTCCGTTGTGATACCTGCGTTCAGGTGACAAGAAAAAAACAATCTGTAGTTTGTATTCAAAGAGCAGTTTCACATTCAGTCCAACGCTGCCTGTTGATCAATAAATCTCTACTGCGCATGTTGGACCATGAGGGAGGCAAGAGTTCCCGGGGGGACCAACGCGCCCTTGGAAGATCATGCAAACGTCCATGTGGAGATTCCCGGGCTGGATTCAAGCCCCTGACCTGACACTGTCTCCACAGCCCCCTTCATTTCCTTTTGTTCCCCTGTATTACTTGTTCTTTCTCCATCACCCCAACCGGTCCAGCCAGAGGTCGTCCACACCGAGCCCGGTTCTGCCGGAGGTTTCTTCCACTTGGAAGTTTTTCTTCCACTTGGGAGTTTTTCCTCCCCGCTGTTGCTCATGCTTGCTCGGTGGGGAACAAGTTGGATTTTTTGTTTCTTAAGATCTTGGACTTTTGTGCAGCACCATGAGACAGCTGTTTGTTGTGATACCGTGCTATATAAATACATTTGATTGATTGATTGACTGTAAAGATCCTAATTCTACAGAAATTTCACAGGAATTTTTATTTTGAAGAGGCGTCTGTGGTGGGTGTGTCCTTCTGGTGGGCGTGGCCTTACAGCATGTTGAACTCGCTGAGGTCGGCGTGGACGAGACGAGCTTCTTGAAACATTTTCCTCATGTTCTGTAGAACCTGCAGGTAGAGCTCACGAGCCTTCGACTCCGACAACGATGCATTCTTCAGCAGAGGAGCCGGCCTGATCAATACAGGATCAGTACACAATCAGTACACAACATAACAGTCATATTAGTCTGTTTGCATCACTGATCAATAACTGATTGGTTCTTACATGTCGTCTTTTCCAATGAAGCTCATCAGCAGAACGTGACTTCTGAGCAGCAGAGGTTCTGGACTCGGGATTCCTGCCGTCTGTAGCCTGGAACACAAGCACTGTTGGCTTCTACTGAGTACCGATAATTAAATCCGGTTCTACTGGGTACCAATTATTAAAATAGCTGCAATTAGATCAATTTCTACAGGGTTCTAACAATTACACCAGGTTTAACTGGCCTCTAAACTCTGACATTTGGTTCTAATTGGTTCTAAAGTAAATTCTACCTGTGTGTTAATGTGGTTTCTAATGTGTTCTACAGGTTCTGACCTGATGAGGTTCCTCATCTCCTTCTCTGCCCAGGTTCTCACCATCTTCCTGGGGTTCCCTTTGCAGTAACCGTGACGGAACCTGGAAGCAACAGAAGAATTTAGAACCCTGTTACTGAACACAAAAAAGAGTGTAGTTGAAGAACTGCGTGTGTCTCATAAACTCTTGAGCAAATCAAACAACTACAAAGTCAACTTCAAAGGACTGAATGTCCCATAGGAAATTTTAAATGTTTACTTTACTCTTGAAATAACAAAGTGTCACAGTTTGTGTTGTGATACTCGTATTTACATTTACACAAACATTCGGACAGACCTGCTATATAGTGATTAAAGAGTGAGTCAAACAGCCTGAACCGTTCTTCTTCTGTGGTGGGACTCACCTGAACTCTCCACTGACGTATTTGTCTCGGTCTTTGAACAGCAAGATGGACGTCTTGTAGATCTTGATGGCGCGGCGTTCTCCGGCCGAAGTGCTGGCGTGATAAACGTTCGCCTGAAATCAAATAACCTGTTTGTGACTTCCTGTTCCTGACATTTAACTTATCACCTGATGAGCGACTAGCTGAAAAGACCACAGCCATCATATTTAGGGCTAACATTAGGAGGCCAAGCTAACTAGGTTCAAATGTCTGAAGCTGAAATGTGATCTATAATAAATAATAATGATGACAAAGAAATGGAGAAAAAGTGAAATGTCACATTAACAGTATTCAGAAAGTAAACATTTGAAATGTGGAATGATGATTTTTCAAGATTAGATCAATGACTTGACGAGTGACCTCTGACCTCCTTCCCGGTGCTGATGCAGCCGTTGATTTCACAGATTGCTCCACGACTCAACATCTTAAACAGAATCATTCGAGTCCGAGGATCTAAAACCTGAAGGAAAAGAAGAGACGATCAATAAACATTGATTATCTGCTGGTTATTGATCCTTCGGGTCAGAATGTTTATGTTCAGTCCTCCTGATTTAATCATGGTTTTAAGTGGATTTCAAAATAAAACAAATGAAATATATTTACATTTCTTGTAAAGCCTTTTCTAAATAAAAGCGTCTGCATTTCACCTGTTCAACTGTGGCTCGATCTGATTTGTCCTTCACTCTGTACCTGTGGAGAGCAGCCAATCAGATAGTGAGTCAAAGTCACATGACGTGATGAAATCAATATTCAGATATAACCCCACGTACGTGTCAGCATCTTTCTGTTTCTGCATCATCGTCACTTTATTGATCACAGAGTCTGCGTAGTTCAGTTTATCTGAAACGGTCACAAAAAGATCAGAACAAACTCCCGGTCGATATTTATTGATTTTCAGCGAACAAACTCTGACCAGTACGGTCAATCAGTGAAAACAAATCACCCAGGTTGATCTTGTGTTCGTATTTCCTTAGAGCTTTATCAGAAGGCGTTGACGATGGCAGCGTCTTATTGGACGGATTCTGTCTATTGGACTGAAAATCCAAAAAAACGAGAGTCAGAACAAACAGCTGATCAATCATCAATCAGTATCATTGATCTCATTGATCAGGTGATCAGACCTGAGAGTTGAGAGTCATCCTGTTGTATCTCTTGGTCAGATTTCCTCCTGCTGAATGCCATGCCCACTCTTCATCATCATCGTAGTCCTCCTCCTCCTCCTCCTCCTCTTGATGTGGCGGCTGCAGAGTGACATCACTGACCTCATGCCGTACAGTAGACACCTCTGATTGGTCGCTGCAAACCAGAGGAACAAAACCTAATGTGGCTGCCAGGTGATGTCACAGTCTGACCTCTGACCTGAGACCCGATCACAGAACTGGGCCCTGTACTACAACGTGAGTTAAACATACCCAGGATATCTTTCAGTTATCCAGCTGAACTTAACCTAACAATAGCAATCAGGCTAAGTGGTCACATGAAGCCAAGCTACCATGGTGATTTACCCCGATAAGAAGTGAACGAGCTTCGTAGGATTGAAAACTCTGAATTAAACCTGAAGTTACTCTGATAACCACAAATCACGTCAGACTGAAAGTGAACAACTTTAAACTCTCAGTTTAGAGTCCAGACATTAATCAATCGATCGACTTGTCAATCAAACACTAGTTTTATTTCGTTTCTGGAACAGAACAAACACGTGATCTCACCTGTTCTCCACGGCGTCATCAAACTGTCCAGGTACACACCCGACCACCGACATGACGTCACACTGCACAGGTAAGACCACAACCACGAACTGATTCGGGTCCGAGTTGATCCCAAAGTCAGAGAAGCGTGTTCGCCACTTCACTTCCGGGTTTGAACATGTGACTACGGTGAGTAAAGTGGGTGGAACTTCCGGTGCGGAATCTCTCAGTTAAACTACACTATATAGAAAATAAATAAAGTTCAGTTGTTTCCTTTGCTGTTGTTTTTTTTATTCTATAAATCATCGTTTAAACGGAAATTTTAAAACTGAATGTTCGTTTATTTTAGCCTAAAAACAGTCAGGACCTTTTAACTTGAAAAGCCCTCGAGGAAGTGTCGTGTAGCCGTTGTTGTTGTTTAGTGGAAGCTAACTAGCCATTAGCTCTTGTGTCGGTTGCTCGGGGGAAGATGTCTGTGGATGTGTCTCACGCTCCGCGGTCTGTGCTGGTCTGTGATCGATCCTCTTTCCTGGATGGGAAGAACCGGATCAGTTCTCAGCTGCAGCAGCTGCACTTCAACTACAAGGTTAGCACGTTAGCAGCGACAGCTTCGTTAACTAGTGCTAACTAACATTAACTAACGTCAGTGTGAGTTAGCAGCGTAAACACGTGGTGGTAGGAATTTCAAAATAAAAGTCGGCTTAGTCACATTTGTGTTCATGAAAAGCTGCGAGGAACGTTACTTCTTTCAAAGTTCTTTTAAACCTTTAACCATTAGAGCCACAGTAGTTCTACTGCTTCGAACAAATACCAGTACTACCCCCCCCCCCCCTCAGTAAACCTAAACCACCAGCCTAAAAAACTCAGTAGGTCGACATCAGAGAAAATGAAAAGAACAAAGAACATTCAACAAGTATGTGATGTCAATGAGTAATTGCGTTAAATGAACGTAATTACAATCTTGACCAAAACCAAGAGTGATCATGATTTTTGCCAAAGTCGAGCAGGTCTAGGAAGAACTTCCTTAAAGTTCTAGTTCAGAAAAGTGATGTAAACATAAATGTGCTGCTGCAGGTTCTAAAGTGACTTGTTTTACGGCAGGTGTCCATGCTGCTGCCTGAGTGTAGCTCCGCCCCCTCTCACCTGGACTCTGTTTTGAAAAGCTTCAACAGTTTCTACCTGATCAGGAACATGCCCATATGTGAACTGCTGGATAAACACTTCCTGGAGACCTCCGTGTACCACGGTAACTCCTCACACACATGAACACCAGGAAGCATTAAAACTTCCTTATTCTGTCCAACTGCAACTCTTGCTAGGTGACAGCGGTAAGGTTGTACAAGCAGGTGACTCTGAGCATAGAAATCCTTTGAGACCAGAACATCTCAATTTGTTTCAGCGTAGGTGGTCTACGAAGGAGGGGACCCTTGAACACGTGTAATTCAAGATGGACGATATGACAGCTCCAAAAAATAAAAATCATTTTGATCGCCACCTGGTGGTTGGCTGAAGTATAGGTCATAACCCCTCCTCCATGTTAGCAGATGGGACATGGAAGTTTACAAGTCAAAGTAGACGTTAAAATAAATGTTTGTCAAAGATGTTTCTGTCATTTCAGGTCATTCTTATCTATCTAATTTTTGTTCATCAGAGAGATATGTTTTTCGGATCAGTTTGGTTTAATTAGTTATTTATGATATAAAAACAGGAGGAGACGTCATGATTGACAGCTGACACTGACTCAGGATTGGTCAACTGTGTGTATGGGCGGGACTTTGGTACCACGGCTACACCCCACGATCACTACTGCTCAGACTCTGACTGTAAATTACATCATCACCACAAAATGGCAGCGTAGTGTCAGGAGATGTCTTTGCCATCAATGGTTCTCACATGTTCAGACTTGACAAACGTGACATGTTTCTGTATTTCGGATTCAGGAAGTGTGTCCGGTCTCTCGCACAGAACCAGGATCGATGAAGATAACTGTGTTGCTCTGATGCCGAACGGTGAAAACTTTAATGATCTTCCTCTGACATCATTCTCACAACATATCGTACATTTGATCTATATGAGTTTTAAATTTATACAGACACATTGTTACTGTGTGTGTGTGTGTGTGCAGGTCGACTGTTTCTCTCGCTGGACAAACATTCCTTCCAGGTGTTGGGAGTTGAGGGGAAACCATCGAAGTTCAACCACAGAACAAAGAACAGATTTGGTCTGTTCATGTCACAGAACTTTATAATCATATTAATAATAATGACAATAATAGAATATTAATGAATGAAAATAATTTAAATTCGAGAGGCCTCCTCACTATTCACATGTGCAACATGTTCAGGATTGAACACCTAAAACAAGGTGAAGATAATGTGTTCAAGTATCTTGGCTCATGTTGGATCCAAAATTTAACTTGCAAAAATTGAAACAAATTTTTTTGAACAGTTAATGCTGCTTGGACTTTCTTTTACATTCTATGATTCTCTCAGACATTGAGTCTTGTTTTACTAACTGTTCATGTACATTCAACCAATAGTCACTTTCCAAGAAAGCCATTCAAAATCGACCTTTATGTCATTGTATCATTCTCGCAAAGGATAATCTAGAGGTCTGAGAATTAAAAAAAATTCAATGCTTGTTTTATATACAAGGTTTGGCCCACCTCCTCAAATGAATTATTATTGGCTCCAGGGCACCACTAGAGAGGACTGTGAGGTGACCTACACATCTCACACCAGAACTGTGATTAGATACAGGACATGTTTTCACCTCTTCAACTCATGTCATGGTTATATTTGTTACCTGCCTCAGGACTACAGCTGTAAATTAGCGTTCATGCTAGAATCTGGCATGTTTACATGTCGTGTTTTTAAACTGATGTTCATTAACATGCTCTGTCCCTATCAAATAAATACAATATAAAAATAATAATATGGGTATAATATAAATCATATAAATCTCTACTTGAAGAACTTCAACTCTGATGTCAGAAAAACTGAATGTGTGTGTGTGTGTGTGTGTGTGTGAGACAGTTGTATCCGTGGATCTGACTGACAGCAGCATGGCTCCTGGTGGGCGGGGCTATGTCAGACTCCTCACAGGTCTGAGGTCACGACTTCCCCTGAGGAGCGACTTCCTGCTGTCACATCATCCAGGTGAGTTACATCATCACACGTTTCAACATGTTACCAATGTTATTTTACCCATAACCCACAGCTGTCTGTTCTGCAGAGGGTGGAGCCTCTCTGCAGCCCCTTCTGTCGCGTTATGATTGGTCGGAGCACAGACCTGAGATCAGCAGTCAGGTCTTGAAACACCTGTCCTGTCCCGCCCTGCTGTCCTCTGACCTGCAGCCAGATGATGCTCACAGTTGCCTGGAGTGGCTGGGAGCCGTGGACGCCGACATCAGCTGGTGACGACTGGTCTCTTTGAACCTTCTCTGTGAACACCTGTCAGACAGGAAACCGTGAACTAGTCTTCTGTGTTTCAGTGAGAACTCGTCCAGCAGCTTCCTGTCCTCAATGGTCTGTCCGGAGCCGAAGACAACACTGAGTCGAGCTCTGAGGGTCTCCATCTGTGGACTGCTGCTTCCTCAGGATGTCCAGCGGCTCGTCCAGGAGCTCAGGTGAAACTTTTTCACTGGTTGTCGTAACAACCTCTAAGTCCTGACTTGGATAACTTAAGAACCGTGGATCTGTTATTACGGGCATCTGACATCAAGACGTAATGTTTGTTTGACTGCAGTTTGTCTCAGTGGTGGCATCTGGTTTTTCCAGACTTCTGGTTTCTTGAAAAAACATCTGTTTATCTTTGTGTCATTTCCTCACCTGTCCTGCAGGTGTCACCTGGAGCAGCCTCGACTGGCACCCTGGGCGTCTCTGACGGTTCACGGTTTCGTTGACAGTCCTGTATCTTGGGGGGATGGTGAGCACGGAGTCCTGACAGGAGGAGAGAACTTCTACAACCTGCTGATGTTCCACGACCACACCTACCATCTTCACCTGGCTACAGGGGCACATGACACCTGTCCACCATGATGATGTCATCAGCGAGCGCCTGCCTTGATCTTTGAGCTGTTTTTGTTTAACTTTAATCAGGTTTCGTTGTAGAAACTTGTTTCCCGTCAAATGTCTCAAACTAAATAACTGATTAAAATAAAATCATTTAGACAAAATGAAATAAAATCTGAGTTTTAAAAAGAGGATCAGATTTTTGAATGTTTTTGAAACTGAACTTTGGTTAAAATTTAAAAAAAATTATAAACCGCAGCTCTGCTCTGATTTTTATTTACATGTTTATGAAGTTGTCTTTTAGATTGAGAAAAAAAAATTTACTGATTGATTTTAGACGTTCTCTGATATTTATTATTCATGTTAATAACTGGCAAATAGAATGAGAGTTAATCTGTGAGCTAATGATCAATTAGTAAAATCAAGTTTTCTTCTTCATGACTCATCAGGTGATAATTATCTTAACACTTAATCACCAGATAATTTGTCTCAAATTATTTTGTCGTAAATATAAAAATGTGTCAGTAAATTTATTTTCAGTATTTTTTCTGCAGCAATGAGAATCAGCTGATCATTATTTACTTATGTTCCATCATTTGATCCTTTCAAAATAAAACATTGTGTCCATCAATTCAGACTGAACAGTTTTTTATTTCACTGCTTCAGCTGTGTTTGTATAAAAGTTTGTCCAATGAGTTAAAAAATTCCTTGTCATTGTTTGTACGGCTTGTATTTGTGATGTCAGCACAAATTGAACCTGGTTCACAAAGAATTTAAAGGACCAGTTCAACATTTAAGGAAATCTTCTGCTAAGCTCTGTTGCCAGGTGGATAGAGCAGTGAGGGTTTTTTTTAGCTTAACATGTTATGACTGTTTTCTGTGTGTAGATTCATACCTTTTATGCTAAAACAGCTGTTTCCCCGTTTCCAATTTTAATAATAAACTGTTGAACTGCTCCTTTAAAGTTATTTGTTTAAACTAAGTCATAAACTTGTGACTGAATCGATCACACGACTGTCAGGCCACGCCCACACACTGCATCAACTCAGGTTTGTTTTGACCCATGACTCAGCACTGTTACTGTGTGACAGTGAGCAGGAGTTGAACCTGTAGTGTCCTGTTGGGAGCGCTGCAGAGGAAAGTGAGGTCGAATGTCTGCGTTCATTTCTTGCTCCTGCACGGAGGGAGCACTAGGAGAATGGCGGAGGCCCTCAACTATCCTGTTCTCTGTTGTAGTTCAGTTTCATATCTGATTGAACAGACTTAGCCTAGCTTAGCATTAAGACTGGAAGCAGAGAGTCGTTAAAAAATCAAATGTAGAAATCAGCTGCTTTTGTCAGAATGTCATAGAAACACAGATTTGTATATCACCAGAAAAGAGGTGGAGTCTCCTAATGTTTTCACTTATGTCCAGTTCACAATGTTTTAATTTGTTAAATACTCCCTAACAAACCCAGAGGGTTTAAAACATTAGCACAAACACTATCTTGGGTTTTGGATGCAGAGCGAGGCTAACAGTTTTTCCCTGCTTCCAGTATTTTTGCTAAGCTAGGCTAACAGTTTCCCCTTGCTCACAGTCTTTGTGCTAAGCTAGGCAAAAAATGTTCTGCTGAAACCATAACTTAAAGTTGAACAATAAACAAAAATAAACATTCAGCCTTTCCCACTGATTCACTGTTGCCAGCTCAGAAGTGATGAGTCACAGGTCCAGGTTCTGGTGGAGGTTCTAGCAGAGCTCGGTTCTCCGCTGCAGGAACTGCAAGATGGAGTCTGTTCCCTGTGGTGAGCCCCACACTCTCTTCAGGGCTTCACACTCACGCTCGTTTGCTTGCTCCAGAGCACTGCGGCTGGTGTTCCTCATCAAGGCTTTGGACTCCCGCAGAACCTGCAGAACAGGAACCAGCAGAGACACAGCGTGAAGAACAGGAGTGTGTGTCTGTACTAGTGTCTGTGTGTGTGTACTAGTGTCTGTGTGTGTGTACTAGTGTCTGTGTGTGTGTACCAGTGTCCGTGTGTGTGTACCAGTGTCCGTGTGTGTGTACCAGTGTCCGTGTGTGTGTACCAGTGTCCGTGTGTGTGTACCAGTGTCCGTGTGTGATAGTGTCTGTATATTAGTGTCCGTGTGTGATAGTGTCCGTGTGTG